TAGTATGTCGTCAGGAATTAATTTTCCATTTCGCTGCGAAAGCGCAGCTCGGGCGAGCGACGTTCGCGCGTTCGTAAAGTGAGACTGATGTCGAAGCGAATCTCTCTCGGTAAGTGCGCGAACGGAAAAAACTAATAGTCTCGCATCAATTTTTCACAACGCCGTCCTATATTAGCGAGGCCCCGCCTCTGCTTTTCGGAGTTCAATCGCTTGTTCGAGTGTATATTTAACGATTCTTGCACATCGACCTCAACTGGTTGCAAAATTAACGAGAGCGCGATCTTAATAATAGTTTCAAGAGACTGCATCTTCTAATTTAATTAATTTTTCAGAAGGATAAGTAATGCATGAGGAATTTTATATAAAATATCTAGCGGTCTTTCACGTTTCTTATTCATGGTAAAAAATGGACTATATTTATAATTTCTATTATGCGATCTTACACCTAATTTATATAGAGTTTTCTTTGGAAGCAGACAAGCAGATTTTGACGCAATTTCTTTTTCTTCCTTTTTTCTATCACTTTGATTTATCAATCTTGAGAAGAAATTTCCACGTTTTTTACGCATCTTGATTTTTTCATTGACATTAGTAGACATATATGTTTAATGCTAATAGACACGGTTTTCTTTTCCGTTTGGCGGTTTCGCGAAGCGAGTCGCGCGACCTTAATAGCCATCCGTAGGTCCCAGTCGATCGCTTTCGACGACCTCTTGCCGTTCCTGCGACCACGCTCTAACGCAGGCCCTCTCCTCATTTCTACCGTACACGGTAGAGAGAGAGTGTGACTCTCTCCCACGTGGCAGCACCGGTTTGATCTTTAACGATTCCGCGAGGAGCTCGCACGCGTGTGCTCCTTTTTTCCTTTCTTCCCTCGAAGAAGAGGTGGACGTATTCCCTAATAACGCCATGTCATCGTACATCTCTATCAGGCGCAGTCTCTATAAACTATCTCTTTTCCACGCTCTCTGTCTCGCAGATACACACAATCTCAGATTTGTTACGTAAATTCGCGACGACGAATAATAATTCGCGCGAGACAGTTTACAGCAATTTATAGCGAGGAAAATTGGACTCTTATCGATTATTATATCATATACATATATAGATCTCAGAATTCTCTCGCGCTTTCGTGTAAGCGAAACTGCGCGCGTGTGCGTGTTTCTGGCGCGCATGCACGCTGTCAGCTGGTAACGAGGAGGTCTCTCCTCTCCTCGACGATGAGACAGACAGAGTCGGTGAGCCCTAAACGAGACGCGGACTGTCTCGCGTTATGCTCGCCTGGTACCATGGGCAGCCGGACGCAGACGTGCAAGATGGCACGCCCAGCTGTCGCCACGCAGACGCCGTCGATGCTGGCAGCCGTCCCGGCAACAGGATCGCATGCCGCCAGCCATGGTGTTCCGTTCTCGTGGTGTCGCGATCACCGCGCTTGCTCGCGCTAATAATAACTAACAACGACAATATGCCGACATCGCGCCGACTGTAACATCGCGGCTCCGACGCTCGTATATTCTCGCCATCGTTATGCGCGAGGCCGCGCATTCGGGATCGAACGTCTTCTCCTCCCTCCACCCCGTCCCCCTTCCTGCAGAAAATCGATGACGCGCGATAATCGTAATTAGAATTGATTAGAGGGGGGGTATCAAAACAGTTTCCTTTCAATTGACGTCATCTATTTCTTGGAGACGCCAAGTACTTTGTGAGACCTAATATGCAAACTTATGCCTTGTGTCAGTCTATTCATACATCAAAAGCTTATAATTCGTGTGCTAAGTCGGGAGTTCTTGAAGTTTGAAGGCGTTTTTCGCGAGAACCAGTTGCTCAAGAGAAATAAAATTTATAAGACAATATTATCAAAATTGGTAATATTATATAATCTAATAGAAAGCAGTCTCTACTAAATATTTGTATAGATAAAAATTTTAATTTTCTGCAGCCTAAAATACCAGACAGTATGTCGGTCTAGGTACTATGGTTTTAATGTAATGACATTTTTGAGTTATCGAGATATATATTTGCATTGCTGGCTTCTAGATAAATGATTGCGTTTTTTATAAGAGAAAGTAATGTTTGTGATAAATTTGAAAATAATATTTGATATAATATGTATATTTTTAATAACTCAGTTTCTTGAAAATCTCAAAGCTCTTTCAGATGCCTGTATATGTCGGCTTTTATTAATAGTTCAAATTTTATTCATTTTTAATTCACACATATTTGCATCGCAAGTTCGATCATCAGAAATGAAGATCATTCTGAATTGTGATTGTAAATGTTATATATAATTTTTACGGACGCTAATTGAAACTTTAGAAATCGATGCTATATACATTTTAATCGAGGAATGACAAAAATTGACAGGCTAATACGTTTTTATCTCTTTTACATTCGAAATAAACGTTAGTATCTTGTTTTAGATTATTTCTATTTTTCAAAATTAGATTAACATTAATAATAATTACAAGAAGCTTTATTCTCTTCTATTATTAAATTTATCTCCAAGATTGGAGGAATTTTAATTTTAATTTTAATCATTATAATTTTATCTCAGAAATTTGTAGATTTAATGTTTAGAATTCGTTTGTATTTTACTTATTCTTTACAATTTATGTCAAAAAAGGAGAGAATAATTTGTTCATATATACATATATGTGTGTGTGATAAATAAAAAAAAACTTAAACATACTTTATACCACTAAATCTTATTTAACATGTATCTGAAGTTACGAGAAAGGAAGATAGAAAAAAGGATAAAACGCTTTTGTAGTGTAAAAGTCCGTAGTGTAAAAGTATCTCGTTCGCTCGCTGCAACCTCTCGAATCCCACTCGATCCGTTGGCGGTTTCGGCCGAATTGTTTAAATCTGTCGTCTCCGCGCTCATGCTAATTGGAGAGCTTCCTTCCAGAGCAGTTTCTTTGCCGCAATCTTCTCCCACTCGATGTACCTTTGTTCGCGATCTCCTTCCGATTCCTCCCTTTTCTATGCGAACTTCGACGTCGTCGTAACATTGCACGAACGCGAACATGATTTACATCCCTGTGGCATGCATATTTTCGCGATATGTAAATCGTTTCTTCTTTCGCTGCCGATGCAGGGTGGATCTGCATAATTGAAACGACGGATGGACGGAAGGGTCGGAGATTTCACGTGTCGACGCGTTCGACGTTTTCGAGAAATTCGTCGCAAGGACGGTTGAAGACACGGGAAAATAAATAAAGAAGCGGCAGTGAAAGTTTAATAGAAGCGCAAAGACAGCGCGCTTGTGCGGATAAAACCTCTTCTCGGAAGAGAGTGTTACGTCTCATTTAAGTTTTACGACGCCTCTTCTTGTAAGGAGTTCAAGAATGGGACATTAAATACGATACGATCGAAGAATATATAAAATGAATCGTGCATGAGCTTTTGGGAAAATCGCGAACGACTCGCGAATCTACGTGAATGTTCGTTAGTATTTTCCATTATTAATTAATATAATAATTTTTCATTATTATTAATAATCTTTATTTAATTATCAAATTAATATTGTTATAACTCGGCACACAAATATATCTCATTCAATATATCACACGCGCTTACTTGCATTGATCGAGTACGCCCGTTTATTTTAATTACGATACGCATGCCAGTCGAAGTTTTTCTCCTATACTTTCGATCTCAATTTTCAATCTAACATTTATTTTGATATTTTAGGCAGTCAGATCGCTTTCGTTTTTAAGCTATTTAATCTACAGTTTTGTCAAAAGCTCGCCTTTTAACCTTCTCTAAGTGATAAATTGTTCGTTTACTGTGTGTGTATGCTTACAAATGTAGGGGAGCTCAAGTTTTATAAATTAATCCTATATATATCGAAATCTTCTAGAATTCATAAATGTATCATACGAAGGAGAAAAAAAAGTCCAAAAAAATAAGAGCCTTTATTAGTTAATTTGTTCATAAACGCGAAAAATTGAAAGTTGAAAATAAGAGCAAAACTAGTAGATATACGCAATTGCGTACTTGCGTGTGACTCATACAAAACTGTTTCTATCGCGAGATACTTGCAAATGGATTCACATCTTGATCGCTTATGAGCTACTGCCGAATAAATATACTTGCCATTTATGTCTTTAGATTATACGCAAACATTATATGAGTTTTCGTCACAAATTTCTTTCTGCATATTCCTTCCTGTTCCGCGTACATATCGTCATAAAGGGTATGAAAATAAATCCTACGCGATTCCCGGTGATCTTGTAACGTAAATCGGCGTCGATCGGCAGAATCGCATCCGAGTCGCCGATCGTAGTCGACGAAAATGGCGGTCGCGCCGCCCTTGAATGCCAAGGAAAGTGCTCGGACTTCGGACTCGCCGCTCCCGCCACGATTGGCCGATTCGTCCTTGGTCCGCGCAGGGGTCGAAGGCGCGACTTCCTGTCGCTCGAAGAAGCGTCGCCATCCTGTGGCGAGCCTCCAAACCGCAGAAAGCTCCGTGCAGGCGAATTCATCGAGCTATCATCCCTCCGCGCGATCCTCCGCGCCGAGAACCAAGACCCTCCGCACCCTCCTCCGCCAACCCTTATTTCGTGGCAGATCGGGGTTGGTAATTCCAGGGCAGGAGCGCGATTTTATCGGCGGCGAATACGCCGTGAATCGACTTGCGGGAAAACTCGCGGGGGATGATGAGGGCTCTGCTTGTTCTGATCGTAAACGTATATTTTTTAAAATAAATATTTATCCGTTTTACGATGTGTTTAAGACACATGTATTGTAGATGTTTAAATCAACCAGATAATTTATCTTTATTAAAATCCATGCGAACTTTATGAGATTATCTTTTTCGCGATTGCTCTTCTTTAACAATGCAAAGCTATTTATAATATTTGTCATTATTGATATGCGATTGAGATTATAATTTTATATCGTATTGAAAGATAGCTCTGTCTGACAATTGTTTCAGTTTCGTTGTGAATATAATTCGCACGAGATAACTCAATTTTTATAAATCGTTCCTTTTTCAGAACGTCTTACCTCGTTCATGCTTTTCTTCGTCGACTGTTGGAGACTGTGATGTCGTCATATGTAACTGTCAACCTATCGTCGACAAGTCGTTTAGTATCGTTGATTCAATGTCATTCATCACCTCGAGAGATCAAAAACGTAAGACACATTTATCTTTTAATTATCAATGTATGCTACAAAAGATTCAGTATCTTGTGTGTAAATGTGAATGTGTATACGTAGTGACAAGATACTGAATTTTTTGTAGCATATATAGCATGCTCTCGCGTATTTATATAAGTCAGTTTTATTTGCACTCGGATAAATTCTAACTTTCTCATTCTCAGAGATCTCTTAAAAATTCTGTTTGCGTAAACAATAATAGCTCTGGTAACTTTAAAACTACAGAATACAATTTGTCATGAACTGTACATAATTCGTATGGACTTTAAATTAACGAAATGGTCATCGATAGTACATCGAAAGCTCGATTTAATGATGCGACTGCCAAACACACACTTCATCGTTCATAAAAAATTTAATTAAAAATAATGTTATAGTACAAATTTATTTTTAAAAAAATCCAAGATTTCTTTGATATTTCTACATCATTAGAGAAAAATGCTCTCTCTCTCTTTCTCATATAGAAAATATAAAACCAATTATTTCCAAAGAAACCTATTTTTTCTGCAAACAATATATCGCGTTGCTACATCTACTCTCTTTTTCGTAGATACTATTTTTTCTGTAAACAATATATCGCGTTGCTACATCTACTCTCTTTTTCGTAGATATATTTTATTTGTATTATTATTATTTATATTATTATTTATATTTATTATTTATAATGTCCTCACATTGCTTTTCTTGTATCAATAGATAGTTTAGTTTACATAGGCAGAGAAAAAAGACAGCAAATTTTAAGAGAGAAAGTAGGATTTACTTTTGTGGAAGATGAGAATCTATTGAGAAAGCGCGATAAGAATCGCTATCAACAGGTGATATTGCTCTTTAACATTTACTGCCGATCGCGTTATGTCAAAAGAATGGATTTCTCCAATCTGCTCCTCTTTATCTACAATTGCCGTGCTTATTACTCCTCTTTTTCTCCTCTTCTCTTCTCCATTTCTTCGAAATATATATTTTAATCTAAGAAAATTAAAAAAAAAATTAGCGCTGTACGGATTTGTGCAAAATGTGAAAAAATGAAATGCAACACGATGTCTTCTCGACTTAATATTTCCATCGCTCGTCTGTAATTAGACACCGATGTCTCTCTCGCATTTCATCTGACGGTGCGAGTTTCTCGCAGGCGAGGACCCTTGCCGAACATACGCGAGCACGTGCGCGCGTTCGGTGACGCAACACCCCGCGCGAATCGCGCACGTGACGTAACGGCGCGCGAGCTCGCGTCGAGTCGAGAGAAGTTAGCGCGAGTTAATCGCCGCGCGCTTGCGTGCTCCCTCTTCGTCCTTTCACGCTCCTTGCACTTCCGAGAGTGAAATATGTGCGTCGCGGAAACTCGCGTTGCGGGGACTTTGCCGGCCTTCGCGTCCTCGCGTGCGTTCCGGATTTCTCGTCGCGCTCGTTCCATTGTGCCGGCGGCCCCGTCGCGTCAGCTGCGCGACAACCGTGACTCCGTGTGTAGGTCAGGCTAGTGCGTCACGTGACGGACGGCGGGCAGAGAGCGTGCGTAGGAGCGGTGACTCGACGAGAGTGAATAGCGTCGCGAGTCGCGAGTGTACGGTTAACCTCCTCGCGCTTGAAACTCCAACCTCCAACGAGCGAGTCTTCGATTCATCACACGAAAAGGAGGGACATTCGAGGGAGAGAAAGAGAGAGAGAGAGAGAGTGGTGGGATCGATAAGGCGAGAGAGAAAGAGAGAAAGTGAGACTTGCTCGTTCGCGTTCATGGGAAAAGTGGGTCGACCTACCGCACGGCGGTGGAAGGTGAGTGTCTCCGTCGTCGTCGTTACGTCACCGCGGCGCGTTATCGGCTAGCATAGAGTCGCTTATCGGGAAAGTGGTAGCGCGGTGGTAAAGCGATAGCGTCTCGCTGATCCTTCTCGGCAAAAGGACTCTCTGAATAGGTGTGTCGATGTTCGATTTCCGATTGGAAGACGAGATTCTCTGACAGCGAGCACTCAGTAGGGACACTTTAAAGGTAGGATCAATTATAATAATTATTTGAGTAACCGTGTGTGTATGTGTACACGACAAATGCAACAGTCGCATTTTGTAACTGTGTGTGTGTGTGATAGCGCGGTCTCATTGTCAGTATTTCTTAAATAAACTCTTTACTCGCTGCATTTTTACAAAACTAACCTTTTTAAGCGATTAAAGCAGCGCTTTTTTTAACGACTCTTTACGCGTCTCGATTATCCTAAACGATGCTCATGTCATTTTAAAAGGAATATTTTATGTCGGGCATGAAGAAACCAGCGTGTTGCGATATTATTTTTTTAAAATTGGGAAGCAATCTCCTGACGGAAAATATTCGCGGTAAAGATGCGCATTTTTTAAGAGCGTTATTTCCTGCTTTAATATTTAATTTTCACTCTATAAAGTCATATGCGCGTAAGACAGGAAATAGAGAAAAGCGATACTCATACGCGACCTTGATGTCCATCGGAACGCACTTCAACTTCAATACGAGAATGGACATAGCCTTTCGGGGAATGGCATTTAATCAATATCGCGTTGTCGAAGCGCTGTTTCAAAGTCACCGCCTATGCTATATAAAACTTTTCTCACAACAACAAAGAGAAATGCGCTCGAGCGTTTGATATTTATTTAGTTTAATGTAGCTTTATGATATATATTATAAAAAACTTGATTTATATAATATTTTATCATTTTTAGACTGCCTTTCAATTTCAATTACAATTTTTCTCTTTTCCTTTTTTCTAAACATAAAGTTGTTCAAGTGATTATAAAAATTATCATCCGAAAGAATAGAACAATGAATCGTAAAGATATATATTTACTGCGATGATAGTCACTTTCGATAGTACGCATGCGTGGTGAGAAGTGTAACAAGTTGTTGAGTATTCATACGTAACTCCAATTCATAGCATTTGGCCGAGTACCGTTAGTTATGACATCATTTCCATACATCACTCAAATCTTTTGGATAAATAAAAATGTATAATAAATTAAAACTTCAAGGGGTGCGTTTATAATATTTATACATATTGCAAAATAATTAATTTAATTTATTATGTCAATTTTGATGTCTATACATTGCTCGGATTTCTTGGGTAATTAAAAATATAATAAATTGTTTACAATATTTATGTTGAATTTATTAATTCAATTTTAATTTATGAATAATTAATTTAATTTAATTGTTTTAATTAATTTAATTTAGAATTATCCGCCGCTTTAAAATACAAGAAAATATAAGAAAATAATCCTCCTGTAATTTTCGCTCTGACGATTATTTTCTTGCTGCAAACATGATCGATCGATGAACTTTCCATGTGAATAATAACAATAACTAAATTACGTTTCTAAATGTTAGATAAAAGGATGCGATATGATTTATTACGTTGGCAGAATCCACAGTTATAAGTCGCAACCCCTATAATTGTATCGCGAAGATGTGGAGATTAGATAGTGCAGATCGTGCGGGTATACAGCGGCAGGTCATAGACGTGACTTCGAAATGACAATAGAACAAGATTCGATCTTGCCACGGGGATGTTACACGTAAAGTCGACGCTGTCGTTCATTTCATACGCGATCGCGAGATAACTGTTATATATTCCATGATAGCAAATTATATACGTATATAAATCAATATTTAAGATGGCGTTTTGGTGATAACTTTGTGGTCGCGGCTGTGTGTATAGGAGATGAAAATCTCTTATATATTTTATTATTATTTGGCTAAATGGCTAAATAAGAAAGTTAAAAAAACGATATTTTTTGTCAAATCCAAGAGAATAATTATTCCCCATAGTTTTTCTGATGCTAAATATAATTCCTGAAAATATTATATTTTATATAATATTATATACATCATGTATCACGTTATAATTTTAAGAAATTTGAGATAAAAATAAACTATTTTAACGTTATTTACAGCATGCGACGCGTTCGAACAATTTCATTTCATTAAAAATTAAGAATATTATTACCATTTTTAGTCCTCACAAGGAATTTATTATTAAGATTAAGAGTAATAGAATTTTATAATTAAGTATTGAATATATTGCAAGAAAATTATAAATTATCGAAGATTGCTGAGCCGATTTTATGACACATTGCAGATATCAAAATAAAAAAAAGTTTGGGCTTTTGTGAAATTTCAAGATTCATATTTATATGGGGGTTTTAAAACGGGTCGTTGATTAAGAAAATCCGATATTAAAATCGACGAACATAATATGATATATACCAATATACCGGGCATAGAATGGACAATTAATTACAACCTTGTTACAGCATAATAAACCCAATATCTCGAAACACTTATTAATCTCAATCTTTACAACAAATTTCTTTTAAAGATCAAATGTTCCAACAATGCCCTTAAATATTGAACAGGATACAACTTTTCTAGCACATCACATAGCTAACACGATAAATTATATGAAAATAGTTCTTTTTACGATTTTAACTTATAATTGCTCAAAATTGCAACGCGATAACATTTTTCTAAAGTCAAAATCGTATCGAACATATAAAAAGAATAAATAAAAAAAGAATAACATAAAAAGAAAATACAAGGAATTATTATTCTCTTTTTCTGGAATTTCTTTCTCTTTTTTTTTTCTATCGGACTGTTGTAATCGTTTGAGGATCGACAAACTCGTCGGCGTCTGTCGATCGATGTTTCCAGGCGTGCGCGCGCAATTTGCGATGCACGACAATTTTGCGACGTGTGTAAACATAATGAAAACGTGGCACGAGCTCGTAAAACACAAGCGGGACGTACGGGCGACACGTAGGTGGGAATTATATGTAGCCGTGTGTGGCTAAATATAGAGAGACGACTTTTATTGCGACGCGGCACCCGAACGATCGACGGGCCCCAATGGCCTTTCTACTCGATTGAACTCGCTCTCATTAAGACCACATCGAGACAAGACGCGTCGTACAATTAAATATCGTCATGATTCTGCGGCGCAAGATACGGGATCGCTATTCGGTAGAGTGCACGACCGTATTACACGTCGACGATGGAGTTGATTGAAAGCCCGGATGTGAAATGTCAAAATATCATTCATGATATATATAGGCTATTCCAGGTCAGTGAAACTTCAGTCTTACAGGAAATTGAATTTGGAACAAACAAGTTTCCATAAACATAGGTTTGGAAACGCTTCGTTAAAAATCATGATCATTTTTTGATGATTTTTAAAAATAACTTCAAAATCCTTCATTCATTTGAAAATAATAACAAAATAAATCTGATGGGTAATTAAATAACAAATTAAATTACACCAATTTCATTTAATTCTGATAAGGCGTTCAAAAGAAAATAAGCTCAAAACAACGAAAAAAGCAGAAACTTGAAAAAACCAGCTTTCGATGGTCTTTATGTAAACACTTATAGTGCACATTTATAGTGCAAATATTACAAATGCAAACATAAAAATGTTTTTAGTAAATTTTGATCATAACTAATTATACTTACAGAGAGTTTATTAGCTATAACTTTTTAATGAAGCGTTTCCAGACCTGTTTTTATACAAACTCTTTTGTTTCAAATTCAATTTCCTATAAGATCCTGAAGTTTCATTGACTTGGAACACCCTGTATAAGAAATTTATACACTTGGGGATCTGTAAAAATTTTGAGATGTTCTAAATTTTCATAACATGTTGATTTTTATTTCACAAGCATCGGTACAAGTTATAAGAAACTTTTTAAAAGCTCTTCAAGATTTTTTACTTGAAAATATTTTATCGAATTCTTAGAGTGAGATAATCTTTCGTCATAAGATCCTCGAAGATCTTGATAACTTTTACGTGGTCGTTGTATACTGATTAAGCAGCAAAAATAGTTCAATTTTATAGAATCTCTTGCGTAAACGTTCTTACACAAGTCGTTTCATAGAATGGATGACATCAAATAATGACATCTCTCTTTCTCCTCGAGCGTGCTGATTCTGATAACGTTTCCGACGTTTCGCTTGACTGGCCACAGAAATCGAAGAAAAAACCTGGAATAAGTGCATCGAGTATTATCTTCAAGGACAGGGGATTTCCGCGGTAGATGAACGAAGCATCCTAGCGGAAGAGCCGCTTTTTTCTTACAATAGTCGTTCGACATTTCTCAAGTCGAATCTATCGTCTTATTAAAATGAGAAATGTCGGAGCTTAATTCGCATTGAAATTTATCGACGAAATAAATCGATGAAATACTACACGAGAAGGGATTTGAAGATAAAGGATTATGCGCATTATTCGAGGAGAGATTTAAAAAGAGGTTTATTATAAAAAAAACGTTGACTCTAATTTCGTGGTTTTTCGCTATCGTGTTTCCGAAATGTAATATATTGGCGGAGGAAAAAAAGAATGCCCTTTGTATCTCTCGCTTTCCGATCCCGCAACGGATGATCGGCCGGCGAGAGAAGAGTGCGTGAGAGGTAACGTGGGCGGGTGGAACTCATTGTAGTGGGTGGGCCACGTCGAGAGAACGTGTGACAGAGACGAACGACAGGCTCTCTGTCCAAGTGATTGCGCACGTGACGGAGATGAGAAACGTGCGCGAGTGAGAGGATCTATTGAGAGAATAAAGGAGAGACGAAACACGGAACGTGGATGCTACGGCAAGAGCGAAAGAGAGAGGAAGAGAAGATGCAAAGAGAGAATGGAACAGCCGTCCTGCCTGTCGAGTGTGACGAATGATACTCGAATGCGGTTAAAGTACGCATTCGAGAGAGATAGAACGTGCGGAACATTTCACGTGCAGCGTGTGCGTGTGCGGAGATAATGCTTGCACGTTGCGTGCGGAGACGTAGAAATAAGAGAAAGAAAGAGAGAGACGCGATGAGAAAGCACACGTGTTGAAAGGAGAGAAATAGAGAGAGCGGGAGAGAAGATTGAGTGGAGAAGGCATGGAGCGCGTTAGGCTATAAAATGTACTGATCAGAGGGAAAGAGGGTTCCCGACAGAGAGCAGATACACCGATATAGCGTCGAGAAAGAAATGATGATCTCAGGAGCGTTCGTTTGTGGCATCGCGACGAGATGCGTGTATATGCGTGTGAACCGGGGAGGGTTGAAAATGAATAGATAGATCAAGTTCAAACGAGGGAAGCGCTATGTTTTTCGATTTCCCTACCAGGGCTAAATCGACGTAATGATTTTGTCACGTATTTTGATTTTTGTCTCGAAGCATACATATGCATATTTTGAGAGCAAATTTATACTTGAACTTTATAATCAGCCATCTGGAAACTTGATAACGTCCTACTATTATATAAATCCTTCCGTGCTATAAAATTATGCACATGTATATCGTACATAGAATTTTCTAAAAGCAGAATTTTCTAGACATCTTTCCAATTTAAAAAAAAAATTTTCTAAAAGTTGAAAGGAGGGTCGTCCTTTCTAGATTACATGACCTTGCATAAAAATTCCTCGCGATAGGTCTTTTTTAATTCTTTCTCACAACGATTAAATAGACCGTGCAATGACCCGATGGGCGTGATTCTTCTGTTCACAGTGACCCAATGCGACCGGCGATCACCGAGGGGCGATATTCGCATTTAGAGGGGCACAATGAGAGGCGGCGCTGGTGATGGTTCATCCATGGTCACGGTTCCCACTTCGGCGTCCCTTAATGTAAGTATATTCTTGGAAAAATCGATCGGCTGCGCGCGCGACGTGTCACGATATCTCGACACGCGGGTACGCTTTCGCAACCCAATTATCCGTCGTCGACTTTATCACCGGCGCCATAAAGGCAACGACGTCGTCGTTGTTGAGTAATGATCGCGGAGAACCGGTGCGGCAGGTATCCTAAGAACGGTAGTTGTACGCGGGTCACGGGGCTCACCATCGATCGTGCGTTCGATTAAGCATCTGGCGTGCTCGATCAATAGGGTACTCTTGAAACTGTAATTTTCATCCCCCTTCTTTTTTCTGAGGGACCGGATCTTCCTTTCGGACAGTGATAGATCACCCCAGCAGATTATCTTGGCTAAGCAGTTGTTCCAAAAATGCCGTATCAATGTTTGCGCAAACATATCTATTCCAAAACTGTCGATAATTGACATGTAGCTTGAACGATATTGTTCGTGTGTTTTGATTGCATTCTATTTGATAACGGTGCTTATCTTTGATATTGCTTACATTCGTTTATAATTTCGATGAGAGTTAAAGTAATATTAATTAAATTTATATGAAATATTTTAGGATTTTTTATAACAGCAAAAAGAGCAAAATAAAACTAAAAGAATAAATTCTATTATATATTACGTTTTTTGGCGTAATATCGCTAAATTTAATTTAATCTATTAAACATTTTTAACTTCAAATCATCCGGTCAATTTGAAAAGATATTTCACAAAGTATCTCGTGCGCGCGTCTGTCTTCTAAAAATAAGAGAGATTAATTAGTTTTAAAAAAGGAATTTAAAAAGAGCTCTATATCTTTCTAAATATATTTCCAATAAATATATTAGAGAGAAAGAGAGAAGTTAAATGTGTATGTGTGTGTGTGTGTGATTATGTAATTATTTTTTGTGTAGAAATATATATAAAAAGAGCACTAACAAATTTGAGACAAAATAACAATCGAAGAATACTATTTGAAGTTAAATTATTGGCAATAATCAAACGCATATAAATGAGATTTGCATATTGGACTTGTACACTAAATAATTTAATAATTAAATTTTTTAATAATGAAAAATGATTTGTTTTGTAACATAAATTTACTATCTATTTTATATATTCGAAAATAATATACAAATTTCTTAAAAGTTCCTATCCAGTTTTTCTTCGAAGATTGTTTTAAATTTAATATTTAAAATACATTTTTTCTACAAACAATAAGAAAATTGTAGTAAAATAAATAAATATAGAAAAGAAATGACAGATATACTAGGAAAAATGGACCTAACTTTTAGTTTCCTAATTTTCATTCTATTTTGGTAGAAAAATTCATATCCGTAAGCAAATAAAGATCATATTAGATTAATGTCGCTAAAAGAATTTATGATTCGAAGAAATACCCTATATTTTACATAATTAAAAAAAAATATGTACAATATCTATCTCTGCAGGAATTATAGCTATATTCCCATTCTTTATCAAACGTGAATACATATATATTTGAACTGATATCACAATCAAAGTACCTGTGTGTAAAACAGGCGTCATCCCTTCAGGGAATGAGATTAATGTATTTATGAGGTAAAGCGAGACAGAGAATAACCGACATGGAAGGGAGGCGAACGTGCGTATTCGTCAAGTGAACTTTTTATCACATATTGTGCAATTGTGTAGCATAGTAGTATCTCTATAACTTAATTCAAGGCTTGAGATCGGGACAACCGGTGTCTACGTCTATATCGAAAGTAAGAAAAAGAAAGAATATGAAATATGATATTTCCACAAGGTATCGAATCCGTAATGTCAATAATTGATGCGAGAGTTAACGATAATACTACTTAATAATCCACTCCTATGCCATCATTTATACGCCCTGTCGATAAAAATCATTAAGCCGTGCGACGAATACGCAAAGTACTTTAGCCGTCGCTAGAGTAACCTTTAGCGGAGCTAAATATTCAACGAGCAGCCGGCTAGAGATTATATCGGACTTCTTTTTCTTCGGTACCACTTCGCTAAAGAACAGTGCCATAAATCATGCATGCCGGTCGCCTGTCCTCTTCATGTAAATTTATCGATTCCATATGAGCTTCCTTTCGATAAACAACACCATCATGACGTCACGATTCGCAAATTTTCGCATCATATTTCGGACGCACATTTAACTCTAAACTGAGAGACGTCTTTTGATAATTTTCATTCTACAAGGGAGGATATACATCCAACTCGTAAATGTGATCTTTTTTGTAATTATTAGTTAGGGTAAAAAATTTATTTACTGGTAGGCAATTTAATTAATAAATATAAATTATCTAGAAAGTAAATTTATATATGTATATTAATTAAATTATCTTGCTATAGTAAATAAATAATTAAACGTACTAAATTTACTAAATATTATTACAAATTATTCTTTATTTATGGTAATTTTTTTTTATTGATAGGGTAAGATAATTAATAAATATAAATTTACCTATTAAATATATCTGTATTGATTAAATTACTCTACAAATAAAGCCTATAAATAAATTAAGGATAATCTATAATAATATTTAGTAAATTTAGTAAATTTGATAATTCATAAAATTATCAATCCTTAAATATATATTAATTAATTAATTAAATTATATTATATAATATTAATT